AATGCTGTTTTTACGTATTTGACTCAAAGTAAAGTATTCGAAACTTTAAAAAAATACATAGCGTTAAAAATAATGGATTAATTTTTTGTTGAAAACAGTGTTTTTTAAGATGGCTGGCAAATGTAAATAAATACATTTACTAAGAGTATAAAATGCTAAAGTAAGTTTAAATTATTACTTTCATATAATAGAATAAAAACACCGCTATAAAACATTGCGCCAACATTTAATTGGAATAAAATATGACTTAAATTGAATATTGAATTAAAAAATTCATACCAACGTTTAAAAAAATTAAAATTTTTCATTTACTTAAATTCAAATCCTTTAAAACAAGTTTTATAGGATATAATTATTTAACATTAAAACATATGTGGCAATAAATATCTCAGGAATTTTTGAAAATAGTGTATTAATTTTTTAATAAAAATTGAAGTATATAATTATAAAGTAAAATATGTACTTACATTTTTTTAAGTATTTTGCCTGTCATATATTGATAAGTACCAGAAAAAAAAAATTATCTTCATCTGTGATCCACATCTCTCGCACTTCATTGAAGAAGCAATTAGCGAGGTTTCCTCCAAAAATTTAAAATAAATTTCCTCTGACCCCTTGTAACAATAAATAAATCTTTGATTAGGAAAGCCAGATTGGCCAAAATAAGGTCTCAAACGGCAATTTTTTTTATTCCGATACCAATAATTCTTGATAACCAGTAACAACATTCATCTTCGAAACGGACACATACATTCGCTTTGAAATCTGAGGAATTCGAAGAGGTGAATAATGAAATTTTAAAGTGGCGCTGTAATGCACAAATATTCAGTAACCAATCAGGGAGCTGATTACATCACGAATAGAATGAAAATTATTTAAATAATCATTCATAATAAAATCATATTTAAAAAAATGCAAAATTAAATTGTATTTTAATATTTAACAGCCATAAATAATGTTTAAAACAGTAGATTAAATTTATAGATATTAAAACCAATTACTTTTAAAATAATGTGATGTCATTCATTACATCATTCACAACATAAAATTCCATAAAATATCATAAACAATAAAATTTTTATTTCAAATAAAAATGCAAAATTAAATTCATTTTTATTATTTAGAAGTCATAAATAATATTTAAAACACGGAATTTATGCATAATAAAACGCATTATTTTTTAAATAACATGACAACAAAGTATCAGTTACCATAAATAACTTGTCCAACAATGGGTTTACCATAAGTCGTATCGCTCGCCAAAAAAAATCGCCAACATCTGTGCAACCGTCTACCAAAGTAGCACCTTTTTAACACCTAATATTGCAACTGAGAGGGAAAAAAACTGTTCACACACAAACACACACACATATATATTTCCAAACAAAGTGATTATTCTTATTGTGAAAAGTCATAACTAAGTGCATTTCTCTTTTGACAAGAATGCAGAAAAGTTAAATTTGTATTTTCAAATGTTTGAATAAGATCTATACACAGCATAAATAAATAAATATTTGTAGATCTTCTAGAGCATTTCTCATGTTTGCTTTTAATGGTATCAAAAATGATGTAAAATTAGACAGAAAATAATTGAAATTTTGATACTCTGTCATGCCGCTAAACTGCAAAATCGCCTACTTATTTGTTTGGCGCTTTTTACAAGAGTAAGAGGAATTGGATTTTTTTCAATTTTCTTTGACTTTTTAAGTGAAAATAGGTCTATATGGATAAAGGGAGTGCACAATGTCATTTTTGTGCAATTCTGGGATTTTCTTTTAAGTGAAAATAGGTCGATGTGCACATGGATACCGGGTATGTGCAATTGTTAATGCGCCAAGCAATGGGTGATTCTGCACTTTCTCCCTGTCATGCACCTACCACACATTTTGGCATATGTACGCCATCTATAAACTATTTTTTTAACTAGAATTTACAATTAACAGCCCTGCCCAAATCCATGACATGCACAACAGAAATTTTAAAGCCTTCCTTCAAATTCTTGCCATAATTATTAATTTCACTGTAATGTTAATTAATCTATAGCATATGTATTTGCATGCTGCGAGTTCGAGACCACTATTATAGAGGACAGAGGCACATTACGATTACCAATTTTTTCTTTCCAGAACACAGAATTTTTGATTGCTCAGTTTTGTTCTCTGCTCCTCTCAGTTCTGACTTGGAAAAGTTCGACTATATTTTCTAACTGCCAAGAAGAGTGAAACAGGATAGCCATCAGTATAAATTGCTTTTCCTCTAATATTTAATACACACAAATCATAATGTTTTGGGTGTAGTAAACGAATTAATATTTTTACTACAAAGAATTTGAAACATTCAGAACTTTTCAACAATACAGTCTCAATATTTTTTTTTCTGGTCTCTAGCTTTGTGACCAAAAAGGGATTGGGATTATTCAATTATGGCAAAGCATACGAGGGCTATCTGCCTAAAGGGAGGGATGCCTTCGTGGAGGACTTTCTAAGGGAAACTGGCTCGTATATACGTTACACATGGGGAAAACCACGAAAACGGCCATGCAGCCAGCCCGTTCGTGGGATTCGAACCTTGGAACGAACTACCAGTGTTCAGTGTCTTTACTGCTCGGCCGCTGGTGGGCTGTGACCGAAAAGAATCTACGATAAATAATTTTTACTCAAACAATGATTACGATAAATGCATATTACTTTGACATCTTTTTTTGTCATACTGTACAGTATAATGCTGCAGAACAACTTACTCAGTTATGAAAATTTCAATATAGTTTCAGTCATTATTTTCCTTTGAAACAAATCTTATACTGCAAGCACAATATTAATAACATTTGTATCTTAAATTTTTGTAAAATTCAGTTTAAAAATTTTTAGATATTAATAGAGCTTTTGGACACACTGTCCTTTTTTAATAAACATAAAAAAAAAATCATGCCATAAATGCTAATCTCTCATTCAATGATAAGAATAGAAAGTTTTACAAAAATTTCAAGGAGCTCATAACTATTCAGTCTTTTTTATTAACAGTAAAAATTAAACTAGAGTTAGATGAAAATGTTTCATATATACCAATTCATTAATTAAAAGTTCCTTCAATCCTCAAATTTGTAATAGCCTTACTACTTAAATAACTTGAAAAAATTTATATTCTATATAATAAACTTCTCACTTATTTTTATTAAGCAATATTATTTTTTCAGTAGTCTCTCACAAGTAATTTAACTAAGTTCTGCCATCAAACAACACTAGTTATCTCTCATGATTAATATAACTGAATATTTACACATAATACTGAGGCATATGTATTAAAATTGAATGCAATTAACAAAATTCTTAATGGTAAATGAGTAAACAGAATTAAGTAAAATGAATTAATTTTATAATCAGAAATCGGGAAAATTCATTACATAAAAATCACGAGACTGATAAGTCAGGTGAGCATCATCATTTTCCTTTTTAAAAGGAAGTTAAAAAGCAGGAGAAAAACAAGGTAAAAAAGAATTTTTTTTTTTTGTGCGATACAGCAGCAATAAAACCTTATTTCTAAAACTAAGGAATATTCTTTACCTTACTCGCCTAAACGATTACTACCTGAACAAAGTTTCTACACGCATACATTTCACATCAAGAATTCAGATGTTATGCTGATCTAACACTGATATTTTTCCTCCTTCTGGATCAAGATTTACCTTCGCTTCATTCACATACCGATTTCGGTGACGAGATGTAGCCTAATCATAACTGTGTGAAGAATTTTATAATAATTCTTTAAAAATTCTAATAATTATACAATAAACACTTTAAAATTGAAAAAAAAAAAAATAATATTCATGTAGCAGTAAATAATTGAAAATTTCCTAAAAAAGTTTGTATGGTTTGAAAGGTGCCATATAGTAGGGAAATTTCGAAAACGCTAAATTTTAAACGGCACGTATCACTTTGCACTATATGGAAATAGTAAAAATTCTAACAGAAATTTAAGTAAAAATCTTCGAAAACAGTCATTCTTCAATACGCTTCAGATTTTTTTAATAACATAAGTCAGTTCTTTTCTTTTCTCACTATTGATACCGGCCCTTGTTTGCTTTATTAATTAATATATACTCCGATATCTGAGTTAAAATTTAATTTTGTTTATATAAATTTTATTACTTGATTATCACGTAACAGAATACCTTAAACTAACTCACAAAACAAGCAAAAATAAAAAAAGAAACTTCAGCCAGTTTCAGAATCCGAGGAAACTGGCTGCTAGTGTAGCGTCTTTCAATATATGCATAAGAAATGTTGTTCAAGAACTTGTTCAAGTATGAACAATTAAAAATGAAACTGGAACAAAAAGTTCAAAACAAGGAAAACAGTTATGTCTTATTTCAGCGAAAATGACAATACCCGCCTTTTAGATAAACGAGTATTATTCCCCTTCCTTTTCTTTAATTTTTGAAGCAAAACGTTTGGGTTCACTTTTCTTTTTTAAATCAACTGTATATAGAGTAATGAATTACTACATAATACGGTCTTTAGTAATTTGCAGAGCAAATTTTAAAAAAATTTGGTTGTCCTTAAAGAGTTCTATTTTTTTTTAAATTGAGAATTTTTTTTTTCTTTGGGGGAAGGGAAATTGTTAAAATGCGTCGAAATATAATTCTTTTCTTTAATATCCTACAAATTATACTGTAATTGCAAAGAATGTTTGTGTAAAAAAATTTTTGCTTAATGATTTACAGAAAAGCTCCCCACCCTCTGTTCAACTGCCTCTTTAATTTTACGCATTTTGACCTCGTTTCAAATTTCTACTTCTTTCAATAATAATCATTTCAAATTTCATTGCATTCTGCTCACAGCATTTTTGTTCTTAGTTTTCCTTTCTTCTGGATCTTAACTCAAATTTCTAATCAGTATAATTGTAATTTGTTTTTAAATAATGACCTGTAGATAGAATTATTTTTAATATTGATACGTCCCCGACTCGAGTTCTTTGCCCTCACTTATGCGAATCCGTGGCGCTGGGGCACTAATTTTGTAGATTTGATCTCGCTAAATCTCGAATTTTATTCGCCATATTGATGATTTGGAAGGGCAAGCTGACGTAGTCCTCTCATTAACAGGCATGAATACATCATACAAATTAGTTAAATTAGTTTTTTATAGTTGAATTTTTATTGTATTTGTGTATAAATCGTCCAAATTAATTACAGATCTGTACTTATCGGTAAGTGTAATTTGTATTTGAAATTATTTAAAAATGTAAAATTTTTATGTGTCACTGTGGTATGTATGCATAATAGGCGTAATCATGTAAGCAAAATTAAAGGGAAGTGTTGTTATTTTGTCAAGTGTACGTTTATAATGAAACTTTTAATGTTATTTGTCTGAAACTTGCTTAAAGTTGCTTGTTGAATGCCAAATAGGGTATTGACATAGTAAATCTGACAATGAAATTCTTGGTCGCGGATTAACATTTGCCAGCGTCGCATTTTTTAAGTCCAATTTTTTTTTTTCTCTCCTGAAAAATTATTTCTTTATATGCGTAAATGTTTTGTAACCGATTGTTTCATCATATCGTGTGATTTTAGTAACGATCTTGTTATTATTTATTATTATAAATAAATTGATCGGAATTTAATGATATGGAAATTATTATATGATTATTGTGCCAGCTCACCCATAAATATGGACTCTTCTATTTCAATCGATCGATAAAAAAGTATTGGAATGAAATGTGCGCATGCTAATTTTTCATTTCATTTGAATGTGTTGTATGTATAGGTAAATGAATATTAAAGCAAAATTTATATGTAATTTTTTTTTTCATATAGTGGCCTGTGTATCGTAAATTTGAATTAATAACGTTCATGTGCTGTTGTTGTTTACCTAATTATGTAGTAAATATTTAAAATAGTTTATATTTTTAAAATTTAATTATTGATTAAATTTTTTTGAAATTATCAATGCAAATTTAAGGGTTCAGCATACTAGTTTTTTTGATTTTGACCAGTCACTTCTAGTTTTGATGATTTCATATTTAATTTTTTATTATGAGGTAGGTGGGGGGGGGAATTAGAACTTTTAAATAACTAAAAGTTATTTTTAAATTAAATTTTATTCTAGTATTTTGTTTAAAAATCCATCTTGTGTGTAATGGTGTTTAGTATTTGGCTACAAGAAGGGAAAAAAAAAGGAGGGGGGCAGGAATTTTGAATAATTTTTTTAAAATTATTAAAATAAGGTCTTTCTGACAATGTACATTTAGTAATGTTACTGTATACAATTAGCTGAAATCTAGGGAAAAAAAGTTTTAAAATATTTTTTAAAACTGAAGTAAAATTTAAGTAGCTAATTGGTAATGCAAAGTGTGTAAGTTTTATGTATCTTGAAACACGATGATGTCGCATGAAACATAAAATCCATTTTTCATAAAAAATTTTTAATTTTTGTTTTTTGTAACTTTTCTCAAATATTTTGTAGTTATCATTTGCACTATTTTGATCGAGTTTCATTTTTGAAATTGCTGTTGATTTAAATTTTACTTATTAATTATTTTTAATGATATAATTTTCTTTTTAATATTTCAATTCCATCAATTTTTTGCAATGATTGTTTTTGCTTTTGTACTCATTCTGTTTGGTTCTACTCTTCTATGCTCGAATATGATTGCTTTTAATTTTGATACAATTTTAAATTGTTATCATAAAAGTTACTACATCTTGCAGTGTGTTATTTGGCTTTGAGGTTATTTGAACTGATTATTTCCGATTATTATTTTTATTTATAAACGAACATAACATATATATATCTTATATACCAAGATTAGCTTACTTATTATGGCAAAGTAATTGGGGCAATCTGCCAAATGATTACACTTTTTTAGTATAATTTTTTTTACTAAACTGTTTCATATTCATGTTACACATACGGGAAACTAAAAAAACTGTATGAACCCATCCAGTGACTGGAACCGAACCATGGATAAATTAATTATAAGTCCTTTGATGGGCCATATACATGTGTGAAAATTCTGCAGGTGCATATAAATATATTATGTATAGCATTAGCTCACAACAGCAGAAATCAATCAAAACTGGATCATATTTCTAACCAGCATCACTATATATAATCTCTCATTACTATCCCACCAATAGCTGAGTGGTTAAGGCCGTTGAGTATTTTTTGTTCAAACTGCTTGGGGTTCAAGCCCAGATAAACGGGCTGGAGCATGGTTGGTTTTCATGTTTTTTTCCATGTGGAACATAAATATGAGCTAGTTTCCTTTATAAAGTCCTCCACAAAGGCATCCATCCTCTTAGACAGGTAGCTTTAGTTATTTTGCTATATTCAAATATTCCAGATGTGTAGTAGTGTTTTTAGTGCTCAGGGACTACTGAAGAATTTCCAACCCTTTCTGCGTGCCAAGAATGGAAAACATTTCATTTTAAAATTTTGTAACATCCTTGGATTGTGCGCTCCCTAGATGCTGCGCCGGGTACAGATGAACCCTTTTGCCCCACCATAGCTATGCCGCTGAAATATCCTAACCTAACCTTTCTCTTTCTTCTACACTCTAGCTTACTGCTAGTTAAGTGCGCTGAACACTGATAGTTTGATTCAGATTCAAGTGTTAGGGAACAGGCTGGCTGTATGCATGTTTTTTGTGGTTTTGCTATGTGCAACTTAATTACAATACTACATGACTATGTTACAAAAGCCACTATGAAGTCGCCCTGACCTCAGGCAGATTCCTCACATGCCTTGCTATATTCATTAGCCTAAACTAACTTTAAAAACAACTGCTCTCTGCAATGAGTGTAATTAGGGGTAAATTTTCAGTTTATGGTAATTTTGTAAAAATTCAGCCAATCCATCTTTTTGCATGTATATTTTTTGACAACTTTTTCCTGTTTTGATTATAAAACGAATTATGTTTCCGCTGAAATTTTTCCACTTTGTTTCTGTTTCATCTGAATGGAAGAGCTTTGTCTCTGAAATAGAGATGAAAAATATGTGCTAAAATGTTTTAAAATGCCTGTTAGGTGAACTAGCAGTTGCTGAAATAATTCAACAAATACTTGCCCCCCCCCTCGTTTTCCTTTTTCCTGTTTTAATTCTCAGTCAAGCTGTGTCTCTGAGTGAATTTTTCCACATTGTTTCTGTGTGTTTCAGCTGAACAGGATTGGCTTTATCTTTAAAATAAGCTTGAAAAATTCATCTAAAAATGTGTGCATGTGTCTTATCTGAAATAGCAGAACAAATAGGTACAGAAAAATGTTTTCTCCAAAATAAATTTATATACATGATGTTAAAATAGCTTAAGCATAAATTTGAAAAAGTTTGAAAAAAAAAAATGAAATCAGAGGAGAAACATGTATGAAAAAACCTAATAACTGAAATACATATATATATATACAGGGTGTTTCATAGATCATGGAACAAACTTGGAGGGGTGGTGGAGCATACTATAACATGCGTTTTTTGTATAGGAAAAGTGATGGGTTGCTGCAGGAATGCAGAAAAAACAACATGAGAAGAAAAATGTGTTTATGTACAAAATCAGTGCAAAGTGCTTCTTTGCAGCAATACATTATTCACAATAAATGTTCAAAAAAGGGAACAGTAATAGGAACTACAGCTGTGATTGGCTGGCAATGCAGTGGTAGCGGGCAGTAGTGAGCTGGAAAAACCACGATCAGATGCATCAGAGGATCATTCGCAACTCTGATGTCAAGCGTGATTGGTGAGTTTACGCACAGGGAAAAAGCTGACATGCATCTCATGCATGGTGCTGTTAATGGGAACGGCAGAGCAGCACTACGGTTGTACCAGGAATGGTTTCCGAACAGGCGTATGCCGAAGCTCGCAATGTTCAAGAGGTTGCATCTGTCTCTGTTTGAAAACGGGTCATTTGAAGCCACCTCTGACACTAGGAGTGGAAGAAGTGCACGACAACTTCACATTGAAGAATCCATCTTGAACATTGTGTATGAATCACATCAGACAAGTACAAGAGCTATTGCACACCGTCTGCAGCCGAGTCATTCCACTGTTTGTAGAGTATTGCATGAAAATGGTTTGCACCCATACCCGCTTTTCCATGAATGGGTGGGCGGGTATTGTTAACGACTACCTCATAGGCCCATACCTCTTACTTGCACATACAAATGCTTATGTTATCATATTTTTCTGCAAGAGGTGCTACCGGAGTTGCTGCAATATGTTCCGGCTGTCGTTCGTGATTGCATGTGGTTCCAGCATGATGGTGCACCAACAGATAACCGCGTGCGGGTCCGCAATTATTTGGATGGGACATTTCCAGGTTGATGGATTGGCCGTGGTGGACCTGTTCAATGGCCACCCCGTTCGCCAGATTTATCCAGCATGGATTTTTTTTATGGGGCCATCTGAAGAGCATCATTTACGAGACTCCCGTTGACTCACTGGAGGACCTCGTTGCACGACTATCCATTGTGACTACAAGCATGCGCGAAATGCTTGTCATTTTTCAAAATGTTTGTCAATCCCTTCTGCGACGTTACCAAGCGTGTATTACTGCTGGTGGTCGCAATTTTGAACACTTATTGTGAATACTGTATTGCTACAAAGAAGAACTTTGCGTTGATTTTGTACACAAACACATTTTCCTCACATGTTTTTTTTTTTTTTTTTTTTTTTTTTGGCATTCCTGCCTTAACCCGTACTTTAGACCCTACATTCCTATAAAAAAATGCATGTTTTAGTATGCTCCACCACACCTCCAAGTTTGTCCCATGATCTATGAAACACCCTGTATGTGTGTGTGTGAGCTGAAATAATGTTGCTCATTGCAGATAAGTTGATATTAAAAGATACCAAACTACTTTTGAATCATGGACGAGAAAACTGCTGTGTAGTTACATGGAAATTGTGTAGTGTGTGATCAGATGGAGTTTTGGAAGAAGCATGACCAACTTAGTAGTTAAACATAATTTGTTTATAGATTACGAATTTATTAGCACATTATCTTTTTTAACTTGTAAAATACTAGGGGTACTATATGACTTCCACAATTTTAGATATGCAAGTACATTTTAAATAACAGAGAATAGGCAGCAGAGGCTAAGCAACATGCCTTCAGCAAAAAGGCAAAGTAGTGAAAGAGAATGCATATTTGGTTGCAATACAGTCAAAAGTCGTTAATTCGGACACCCATAATCCGGACCTCAAAGCTAAAAACTTTCT